AAATGTACTCTGTGGGCAAAACTCAGATCATCACTCTTTTCATGTGTTCGTCAAGGAAAATTAGTTATGGTACTACTACTAGCTGGCTAAAATCAAAACAAGAAAATTACATGAAATTCAAATTTCTGTGACTGTAAATTATTTTTATCAAGCAAGTATCACACTTGTATATCACATACTGTCTATGGCTGCTTCCTCAAAACAAGGAGCTCAGAGACTCTATAGTAAGCAAAAGTTAACATATTTGATAGTTTACAGAAAAAGTTGACAGATCCTAATTTAATTAAAGGACTGTCAGAATAAATAAATAAAAATGAATAATAACGTTATGTGATGTGCAGGTTACTCTCTTGTAACCTTGATGTAAAACAGGGTCGTTGGAGAAGAGGAACTGTGAGAATCAAGTTACATTCTAAGTTTTCATTACTATGACTTTGAGATCCATCAAACAAAAACGTCACTGATTTGCAAGCCTCTTTTTCAAGGACGGACAGTTCCTGAAATGTTGGAGGCTGCTGTTTGTGGGAGGTAACAAGCCACATGTTCTCACTTCCCTAAACAAGTTTGTCTGACCTATCTGCACCAGATGTTCTTGATTGCATGTGGACAGGAGGGTCACAGACAGAACTATGTCACGATATACGCTTGCCCGACTGGATGTAGGCTGGAGGTATGTCAGGAAGTATGCTTATCCCTGACTAGACCTGATGGGAAATGCAATGAATTACGGGTTTTCCTTTAAGCTGCTGCAAACCATGATTTGGGACCATTTCCCAGGAATCTGGGTATGGACCTGACCAGAATCCATCTATTGGCCAGTGTTTAATTACTGCTTGCTTCAAATTTGGCTTTAAACTGTGGTAGTGGTCTTACTCTCCATAGGTAGGAACAAGAGAATCTCAACTGAGAAAATGTTTTTCCATCAAACTGTCTGAAGGCAAGTGTGTGGAGACATTTTCTTCATTGGAGGGGGCTGTTTTTGGAGATAATGTCTCATTGTGTAGCACTGGTTATCCTGGAATTCACTGTGCACACTAGACTGGCCTTGAACTCTAAGTCTGGTCTGCCTCCGCCTCCCAGAGTGCCAGGATTAAAAAGCATGCACCTTCACAGGTAGCACATTTTCTTGAATGGCACGAATGTGGGTATTGTGGGGAGGGCAACCTCTGAGTATGTGGTCCTGATTTGTACTGAAAGCAGGCTGAGCAAGCCAGTAAGGGGCCATCCTACATGGGTTTCTGCTTCAGTAACTGTCTTCAGGTTCCTGCCTTGAGTTGCAATCTTGACTTCTGTCAATGGACTGTAAACCATGATATGTATGCCAAATAAAGCCTTTCTTCTCCATGCTGCTTTTGGCCATGGTGTTTTACAACAGTAACAGAGAGCAAACTAAGACATGCTATAAGATTCCTCTACAGTGGAATGATACACATCACTTGAAAGGATACAAAAGACTATACCAAGAGAGTAACCATAAAAGCTAATAGCTCAATTAACATCAGAAAAAAACAGGCTTTAAGAGAGTAAGTATTACTAGAGACTCAGACATAGTACTACTAGAGAATAAACATTTTAAAATGAAATGAAGGTTAACACATCATGAAGATACAGTATTTATAAATGCATATTCATTTAACATTAAACCCCAAATACATAATGGTGTGAAAGGAGAAACAGACAACTCACTAATGCAAAGATTTCAATGAAGCAGACTTCTAGTTCACTGGTAGACACTGTTTCCTGACAAAATCAATACTGAGTTCAATCCCCAATGTGAAGGGAAAGGGAAGGGGAGGAAAAGAGAGGGAAGAGATAAAAGAATGGGAGCGAGAAGAAAGGATGAAAGAGAGAAGAAACGGAGAGAGGAGGGAAAAGGAAGAAAAAGAGAAAGGGTGAGAGGTTAGAAGATTGAAGATCCCAAAAATAAAAACCAAACTAGAAACAAAAGAAATCCAACATTTTGACAATTTCACACCTAACATACTGTGATAGAGTGCAGCCAAAAGCAAAGGTTAGAAAAATAAAAAGATGACCTTCATGTTATGTACTCTAAGGGAACACAAAGCACAAGAGCTATGTGTTCAGACGTGACTCCTCCCTAGGTCATCTCATTACATTCAAACTCTGAAAAGAATTCAAAATCAGAAACAAAAATCTCTAACAAATTCTTTCAGATAACAGAGAAGAAAGACTTTGTAAATCACTCGGAGCAGTCAGTACTACCTGATACCAAAGCCAAATACTCTAAGACAACTGGAGATACATTTATTCCTTGGTGATCCAAAAGGCCTTAACTCAGTATCAGAAAACCAAACTTGACAACGTGTAGAAATCATTATGATCAAGTTGTATTTGTATGTGGATCATGCTGTCAAGATTTGTGTGTGTGTGTGTGTGTGTGTGTTTGTATAAGCCAAAGGACACCCTGTAGGAGTTGTGTTCTCTCTTCCTATAGAATTTTGATCATCATCCCTCATAGTTAGACTGTTACCCACTGAGCTATTTCATGCCCCATGAACAAGTTGTTTAACAGGAGTGATCAATTTATATAAAGAGGACATTCTAGATGCCTAGAAATCTCTCTGTATCCAGTCCCATAGATTTCCTTGTTTCCTGCTTTGTCTCTGCATTTTTGCTTGCTACATAATGCTTGCATCTTTCCGTTTTTATCTTTGTCTCTGATTCTGTCTCTCTAACACACTTTAATTATTCGACCCTTTTATTTTCTCAAGAAATTCTTTTGACACTAAAACACAGTTTTGCCTGGATTTTCTACATAAAAAAAATTGTCATTTATATTTAAGTATTTGGTTAGTCTAATACTGATTTATATAAGGTAGGGATTAATTTTTCCACTTGGATAACTAATTGGTGTCACAGAAAATATTGACCCTTATAAGAAAACAGTAAGAGAATTTTCCAAGTCGAATCAGTCAAAAATTTTCTAATTAACTAGCTATTGCTTAAAAGTACCTTAATGAAGTTACGCAAGTTAATTCGGCAATATTCAACTTTTAAAAATTATCATACTTTCTCCTGGCAACACTATTTTTATACATTTTAAGAAATAACTATGCTCCCTGAATTATGATTAAAAATAACTGAGCTTTAAAAATCAAAAACATCCTAATGTCCAACAGTATGAGAGCAGCAAAACAAATGCTGGCACAGCTACACAATGGGACTGGAGAACCACTGAAGTTGGTATTTATATAGCTATAAATAACACAGAGAGAGCGCATAGTGTTCATTTGTTAAGTGGAAAACACAGGAAATAAAACTATATGTAAAGTGTGGTCTCACTTATGTAGAAAGAATAGAGAGTAAAGTGGACCAGAAGGACTGTTAGTGGATGGCAGCATTCTTTAGACATGTTAGTCAATATGAACTTCGAGTGTTTTTAATCGAATAAAGTCTATGAGGTTTTTGTTTTTCTGAAAACTGATTTTACTTGGGAATGGTCAAGTAAATCTACCAGTTTCAAGTAAATCAGAAGGCTACTTTTTGAAAGTCAAGATATTTCACAAACAAATTCAGAAACAAAGAGTAAGACAATGAATTGAGACTATTATTTTTGCTTTAGTAAAACCTGGATAACTTCCTCTTTCTTTTCATCTTATGGAAAGGAACATTTTGTGAATCTGACATAAAATTTTTATATTGATATATACAAAAGATTTTACACACACATGATGAGTCATGGTCTACTGGCCTTACATATTCAAAGTTTAAATGACAACAATGGCAAACCCTCCCTATTCGGTTTATAGCACTGGAATCACTCCCTTGAAGGCACCCATTCCGCTCCCTCCTTCCACTTTTATACTAGAGCATTAGTTATGTCTTTGCCTAGGCCACACCTGCACCCACATGGCTAAACATGGTTGGGAAAACAGTCATTCAGAATGGACTCCTTTTTTCTTGGGACCCACACTTCTGAGAATTAATTTTTTAAATATTTGCTTATTTTTATGTGCACTAGTGTTTTGCCTGCATGTATATCTATGTGAGGGTCTTAGGTCCCCTGGAACTGGAGTTACAGACAGTTGTGAACTGCCATGTGGTTGCTGGGATTGAACTCGGGTCCTCTGGAAGAACAGCTAGTGCTCTTAATCTCTGAGTAATAATAGCTAGAACTTTTTCTTGGGTCTATTCTCTTTTGTTGCTGACCATTCAACCTGTATGTCTTCACATTTAAATACTCATCTTCAATTTCAGCTCTAATTTCAGAGAAAGTAAGTCATCAAGAGGAAACTTCACAGCTAAGACTAAAGTTCAATTGTGGAGAGCCTCCCCAACAAGCACGAAGTCCTAGGTTCAAAGCCCGGCACCCAAGAACGAAGAAGAGGAAATCGTGGATCCTACCATGTGTCAATCAAATTAGCAGTGTCTGCTCCACATCAGCTCCTCACTCCTTTCTAAAGGCATCACAGCTTGTCTTCCCATTTCCCCTTTATTGGGTCAGTACTAAAAATGTTATTTCTCACTTTCTGCAAGCCATGTTCCTAGAGCATGTTCCCCTCACACCAGTGCTCCCCAGAGATCTTCGCAAACTCAGCATCAACAGCTCCTGCTTTCCAGGGTCTCTTTATCAGCCACAGCCATCCCCATCACGGAGAAGCCAACTGCTCAGCCCTTATCCAAGATGCTACTGAAACTCAACCCATTTGTGCCTTTGCTACAAGGGCACCGCATTTTTAAGCTCCCATGCTGGTTTCACTCCAGCCTCTTCTTGATGGACACCCTAACACGCAGATGCCCCCTCCTTCATCTGTATGCACACACTAAACAATCTCACAGTTATTCTTTTAATTTCTTTATTTAATTTACATCAGGATTGCGTTTACCCCTCTTCTCTACTCTTACCCCAACCCCCACATCCACTCTTCCTGTTTCTGGTCAGAAAGGGGCAGGCCTCCCATAGGTATCAACAAAGCAGGGGATATCAAGTTGTGGTAAGACTAAGCACCTCCCCCTTGTCATACTTATGATGACAGTACCTATGGGTCATCCGCTCCCAAATGCCCCAGAAAGGCAGGGCAGTTGCTGACATCTTGTACTCTGGGACCTCACATCTGCAGCAGGCCAGCTTCACAATGTCTGGCATGTACATGCAAATAAGAATAATTGAAGCATAAGAAATACATTTTCAGGGCTATACAAGTAAATTTTAAAAAAATATAACCTCAAAGAAAAATGGACATAAAATTGTCATAAAAGAAAATAAGACAACTTAAAATTACAGCAAAAGTCTTAATAAATTTTAAGTAGGCTTACTCGCAGGCTCCCAACACTAATACATGAGAAAGCACCAGCCAACGTTTGTAGAGGCCCCAACTGACTAATCTTCTTTACAAACTTTGGCTTTTGCTGAGTTCTCCATGTTATCTCATCAGAAGAAGTTGAAGAGGTTGTTACAGGAACCTCTGACTTCATAGCCAGTCAGCAAGATGGCACAGCTGGTCATCTGAATGGGTGAAGTCTGTGGACTGAGCTCTGACCTGTGGGGTCTGTGCTACTCTGGACAGTGTCACAATGAAAGACACCAGTTTTCATGCTGGAAACTGGTGATTGTGCTGAAAATACATGGCAACTTACACACCTATATACTTGGGCCAGGTCATCCATAAAATAACTATCAGACATTTTAACAAACTGTTTCCTCAAACCCATCACCAGGGCAACACTGATAAAGGAAATTATGTGCTTCTACCCGACTTACTATTAAGATCCTAACGATTCCCACACACCTACTTTAATTGACTATGGCACAATTACAGCTGACTATTTGAAAAGATCCATTGTAATACTCGGTGATAAGTTATGTAATGTCGTAAGTCCTGTCCTCTGTTGTAATTATAATTGTTTTAATAGAATTCACTAATACATTGTCATAACTGACAGTAGAAAATTAAAATTTTAATAAATATCAACAGAATGGTGTTGGCTGAAATATTTCACATTCTCCATAAAGCCCACCATTGCCACTGCCTATAAAATAAGTACAACCTTTCAGGTTAGCTGCCAGGTAAAGTTCTTTAAGAATTGGGCAAACTGAACAATGACATAAAATCCAAAGGTCTGTATTTTGCCAGCTTGTTTTTATTCTGCTGCAGTACAACAAAATAATATTACTATGTGATTTGTTCAAGAATTTGCATTTTCTCCAGAGATGTGATGTAATTTGCTCATAAATAAAAATCTCTGCAATGCACTGAACTATGCAGTAAAAAAGTTTAACTCAGATTCCCCCATCCCCATCCCGGAGACAGGGTTTCTTTGTGTAGGCTGGCCTTGAACTCTCAGAAATCTGCCTGCCTCTGCCTCCTAAGTGCTGGAATTAAAGGTTTACACCACCACATCTGGTGTCTTTCCACTTATTAAAATGATACAACGTGGGCTAGTGAGTTGGCCCATCAGGTAAAACATACTGACACTGCCAAGCCTGATGACCCGACTTTCAACTCCCAGAATCTAAATAGTGGAAGGAGTAAACCAAATCCTATAAATTGTTATCTAATCTGCACATGTCCACCAACTGATCTCTCAAAAAAAAATAGATACAACTTAAAATTATTCATGTTGACCAATGTAGACCAACAGGCTTGGGGAAGAGATACAAAATGTGGTAAAATACTTGTGTGCCTAACATGAATAACTAAGACCTGAGTTTGAGCTCTAACAAAAGGGGGGAGGCAATAAACCAGCTAGCTGCTAGTTTTATGTGAAGTCCTGACTGACTAACCATATAGTTTCTGAGGAGAGTATGTGGTACTGAAAGGTTGAGGCAGAGGAACAAGGGTGTATGGCCAGCCTAGACAACAGTGAGTTACAGCCTTGGCAACATAGCAAAACTACCTCAAAAAAAAAGCAGCAACAAAAATCTCCATCACCAACAAGAATGAGCATACATATTAACTGCTACCTGTTTTAGCTGGAGTTTCTATTGCTATGATAAAACACCATGACCAAAAACAATTTGGGGAGGAAAAGGTTTATCTGGCTTACACATTCTGATCATAGTCCATCAAAGAGGGAAGTCAGAGAAAGAACTCAAAGCGGGAAGCTGGGAAAACTGGAACAGAAGCCATGAAGAAACAATGCTTACCAGTGTTCCTCACTGTTCAGCCTTCTTTCTTTTATCAACCAGGACCGCCTGCCCAGTGTTACTGTCCCAGAAGAGCTGGGCCCTCCCACATGAATCAATAGGAAAGTGCACTACAGACTTACCTACAGGCAAACCTTATGGAGGCATTTTCTCAATGTAGAGTTCCTCTTCCCAAATAACTGTAGCTTGTGTCCAGTTGACAAAAATCTGACGAGCATACTACCATTCCCCATACACAATGAAACCTGAAAGCAGAAGAAAAATATGGCCAAGGGGAGCAATGTTAAGTACGTAGACAAGCCTGTGCTACGGCACCCAGAGATAGTGCACCTGCCTTCGATGTGTCAAGTCCTGCTTTCCAGATCTAGCACTCAAAAATATAACCAAGTAAATTCAATTCTTCTAGGAGGGAAGACAAAAAGAAACAGGCCTGAGAAAAGATGACAAATTTGAAACAAGTCCCAAGTTACTTCTTATAGGGGTGCAGGAGGTTAAGAAAACCAAAATTCATTGTGAAACATTTAAATACAACAACAAAAACACTCCCCAAAAGATTGACATGAAAACCTGAGAAAATAACTAATAAATAAACCAATCTGACTTCCTGTAGCCAACAAAGAGCTTCAGAGAAGAAAACTCACAAAAATGAGGGGGAAGAAATTATAAAGAAAAGTTTAAAGTCTTTTAAGTTTAAAATCAATGGAATATTATATTCTAAGAATAAAAGAATAATGATAAGACATATGATACCTCATCTGGGATCTAACAAATAAAGCCTGAAGACCAGATTGCAAAACTAAGCCACTAGTTTGCTATAGAGGCCAAGCAGTGGTGGCACACACCTTTAATCCCAGCACTCAGGAGGCAAAGGCAGACAGATCTCTGTGAGTTCAAGGGCACAGTGGGCTACACAAAATTGGTCCAATCTAAAAGAGAAACAGAGCTATGTGGTATGGCTCACACATTTAATCCTAGTACTTGGGAGTCACACACCTTTAATTCCAGTACTAGAAAGGTGGAGACAGGAAGGGGAAGGGCTGAGCGAAGAGGAATAAAAACAGAGGAGAGAGGAGCTCAGTGCATTCGGTCTGAGGATTCAGTAGAGGTTAAGAACTAGCGGCTGGTTGCTCTGCTTCTCTGATCTTGCAGCATTTACCGAGATTTTATTATTAAGACCAATAAGAATTCATACAACAATATATCATTGTGAAGCTTTAACATTTAATAGACAATACAAAAACTACAAAAAAAAAAATTCTAGACACATACAACTGCTATAAACAAGTGGTAGCTGGCCCAAGGTAACAGTGGAGGCTGGGTGACAGTGGCATTGTTTTCAAATCTCCAAGACCGTCACCCCAACTGTTCAGTGACTCTCCTTGAATCTTCCACATTCTCTGGCATTCTCGCAAGCCCATATGATGGATTCTGGGAAGAGGATTAACAGTGCCTCAAACTGTTATCCTCCCTACTTGCCTGAAGTCACAGGACAGCAAATGCAGAAAAGCAGACAAATCCAACCCATCAGTGCCACATAACCTATTTCTCTTGAGTAAATTATACCTAAAATCCTATACATAGCTAAACTAAAAACCAAATGCCCAGAACAAGCATTTTCTGACACAAAACCAAAAAGGTACTACCTCCTCACTTTTCAGGAATGTCTACAGGTGTGAGTTCTAGCAACTCAAGAAGGAAAACAAGAAGAATTCTGTGCTGATGCATAGGCACTTTCTGTCTGCTTCTTTATCTCCCCAGCCAAACCCATATGATTGTCCATAAAGATGGAAGTACAAGTGTCCACCTCCCAGGGTTAAAGAGCTGTGTGCATGAGATCCCATGTTGAAATCCTCTAGAGAACTGGCATACAACTAGGCTTACTGTGTAAACACTCGTCAGAATTTATATGCTTACTTATTTAATCATCTGTAAAAGAATGAACTCTTATTATAATCTGTTGAACTCCGTCTAGCCTGAAATTATAATTTTACAGATGTATAAAAGCACAAAAATCCAGACACTTCCCACTTATTCTGCCAATCTGTGATATTTGGTAACAATATTCCCTAAATGTGGTTTGTTTCATCCCTGAAAGGGATGCCAACAGACAAGTACTAATTAAAGAAGGTAGTATTTCAGTTGAAAGCAAAGCCTGTTGGGCATAGAGACACACGCTTTTAATTCCAACACTCAGGAGGCAGAGGCAGGCATATCTCTGTGAGTTTGAGGTCAGCCTGGTCTAGAAAATAAGTTCCAGGACAGGTTACACAGAGAAACCTGTCTGGAAAAATAAAAAAGACAAAACAAACAAAAAACCCAAAGCTAAACTTTTTAGAATAATGCATTATAAATATCAAAATAACACACATGCAAAGTAGTACATCACAAATGAAAATTTATCTTGATCTGTTGCTTCAACCATTTAAGACTTCTGACACTATGGTCAGAATGAGGTCTACAGCAAAGACTGGCTCTCTGAATCACTTAGTAAACCAAGCTTATCTGTATAATTACAAAGATCAAAACTAAATGATTAATTTTCTGATAAAAATCTTTTATCTAATAGGAGTCTTTGTAAGGAAATAGTTTAAATACAAGCTCCCACTGCCACTAAAGTCTTCAGTGACATCTTATAGTCCATCATTTCTTTCTTTTCTTCTCTAATGTCCAAGAGCTGGCTATGGGAAAACGTGATAATCTGTCTTCAAAATTTTAAGGCAATACTTTAGTGTGGTGGCTATAAGAAGGAAGACAGCCTCACACCACATGTCAAGGAACTTTGGAGAGGGCTCATACCACCTAAGACTACTGAATCCACAGCCAAGTTCCCACTGGCACCCACACTGTGACCTGTGACCCCACACACATCCCAGCAACTTGCACACTACTGGCTATCTGTGCGGACGCCCAGCCGCTTCCCCGTCATGTCCACTTCTCTTGCCACGTTGTCTTTTATACCCTTTTCCCATATTGGACTTCTTTAGCAAGAATGTTTCTATCATATGGAGACTTTGCTGGCTCCCGGCATATTCCTGCTGAGCAGCCCAAGCATATTTTAAACTAATTACTATTATCACTTGCTAATATGCTAAACATCAACCTAGTCACATGCACTCTCAATTTTTCAACTTATCTCTCAGAAACTATTATTTTACAAATAAAACAAATAACTTGTTAAAAAGCTATTCTACAAAATCAAAGTGTTAAAATTCAATCTAGATTTGTATTTCAGTGACTGTTGCAATCAGTCTTCTAACTGTCTGGCATGTCTAATTACAAATTGGTTTTTCTTCTTGCTTATCTGTTAAAAACTGAGGCTGCCAAAAGGATCCACATAACTGAGGCTTGACTTCACAAAGCTATGTAAAGGAACAGTGAGGAAATATGCTACGGAATAGTTACTTTCCACACTGACAAACAACCACACTTAACGAAAGTGAGGCAGATCTGTCCATCTGTGCCATAAGCTGGTTTGGTTCATGAGTAACTCACACACGTTATGGCTCCACGGGGAAACGGTTCTCTTTGTGAAGGGTTGTTTATGTCATGTGGACACAAGGGTTTTGATTTTACTAGTGTCATGATTTATTCACTTGTGCAGATCAGCCTAAACAAAGACAAACAACACCAAAGGCTAACTAACATCTACACCGTGAGCCTCTTTCTTTAATGTGATGAGAACTGCATATACTTTCTGCATACCAGGTCCCTCCCTGTTCAGTGTGCAAGTTCCACAGGATACATTAAGGACAAAAAAGGGAAAGTAGCCAAGTTCCATGGAATGTGTTGGGGACACAACGGGAAAAGAGACTATCACAGGCTACTACCCTCATGGAACCTGTGTGAGAACAGAGCAGAAAGAAGAGAATAGAACAGTCAGAACTCAATGTCTAAAGGAAACATACCGGTTTGTTACTCCAAGGTACTTAGGAAGGTTCTCTGAAGAAAGGACACTGGCTTGAAGGCCTAGGAAAAACCCTCCCATGTAAGTAGCCACTGGTACACACTGAGAGTTAATAGGACCAGTGTATCAAGGCTGGGTGTTGGAGAACAGCGTGGAATCCTGAGGAACTGAAGGGTCAGGATATAACTGTGGTGTAAGACAAGGTGCAAACCGATGTAGAAATCCTGTAGCCCAATTAAGAGTCTGGATTTATTTCAAATAAAATACATACTATAAGTGTGAGATAGATTCGATCTGAGGAGTAAGACTTGAGAGATCCAAAGCCTGTTCAAGGTCATAGTCCTAGCAAACGAACACCCTAAAACATGTCATGTCCTCTGTGTGCACTATGGACACTGAAATCTTAAACTTGGTCTGGTCATTCAGATATCAACAGGACGGTCAGTTTAAGAAAGCCATACCCTGACTCCTCATGAAAATAACAATTCTGCAAAAGTACACAGGTGCCACAGATATGAGTACCACCTCTACAACAGCAAGAGGTCAGAAGAGAAGTCGTACACTCCAATGTCATCCACATATGTGTGTATTGCCCTGTTTCTCATGAACACATATTCTTGGGTGTCAGTGACCACCAAGAATTCAGAAATGGACCTCAGAAGTTTTAAATAAGATCACAAAACTACCTCTGTGAGCAAACCAAGAGGTTCCTAAAACTGCCCACAGTGGCAAAACATAACAGGGTTTTCTCTAAGGATGAACTTACACAAGAAAGTCACAAAGGCACGTGGTTTCCGTTCTCTGAAAAAGGGCAGCTCTTAAAAGCAACGGTGTCTCCGTGCTCAAGCAAGGCTGGAGACGAACATGGTAAGGTAAATGACTTGGAATCCAGTTGGTACAGCAGCACTTTTCCACACCACACCCTGGGCTTCAGCTGGCACCCAAATCCCTGCCTTGCCACTCCCTGCAGGTGTCCTAACAAGGGAGGGCACTCAGATGACTCCCTGAGGGAGACAGTGTTTTAGTTCTGTGGTCAGAAGGGAAAGGAACAGGGCCAGGGACCAACTCGGAGGATGTCTTCAAAGGTAAAGAGCAAACCCGCACTGTCTTTAAGGAGATGCTAAACGGAGCCCTAGAAAAGCTAAAGGTTCAGGTAAAAAAAAACTTGGCACAGTCTGACCCAGTTCAGTCCTGGATAATAAACTCTCCCATATCCCTTATGAAGCCCACTGTCCAGAGTGTCATGCCCTCAAATAAACAAGGGTTAGGGAGAGTGGTGGAACCAAAAGGTTAAGGTGACCTACTTTCCTGGGGCAGGGAGGGATCCTAAACCTCTCTTCCCACATCCATCTACGAAGCACTGGAGAGAAATCAGTGAAGAAGAAAGTCACAGATTATAAACTACCCCTTTTGGATTTTATCTGTGAAACCTGTAAACAGTACCACTCGTGTTTTTCACTGCCTTCACAGCACTGAGAATTCCAAGTGAAATTCATTTATTCAAGTAAACTACGTGGTCCATGGTGGGGCTTGGTGGGTTAAAAACTAAACAGCTGCCTACTATGGCTGCTATTTCACCTTTGTGTAGGCAGGAGTTTACCTTTGTTTGATTACAAGTTTATCTTTATTCCAAGGAACACTATAAATTAAAACTGAATTTGGGAAGTCTCTGGTGTGTTAATTCGCATTATAATTGTAATCACAGTCCTCGGGCACAGCGGTCTGTTGCCTTAGTGAGACCTTCAAGAATTCAACATTATCTCCCCACCGGAAGCCCCAGTTCCACCTCCGACTCCAATTACAAAAAGTGGGGATGAGCACCCCAAATCGCGTTCTGACTACACACTAAGTTGGTACACACAAACTCTTTCAAGTTTGGGACCAGGCCCTGCTCTGGGGAACAGCAACTGTGCTGCTCAGAGCCACAATGGTGTGTGTGTACCTGAAGTTGCCAACTCCGGGAGCCCAAGAGGGCCTGTGCGGGATCAGGGCAGTTTAAATGCCTCGGCCCTCCTCCCGCGGCCCCTCGCGCGCGGCCACCGGGTCCCGGCTCTACTCCACACCTCGGCCCCGGGACGCCACCCCCGCCACCCCAGGCCCGGACGGCCGCGACGATTCTTCGCTCCCGCTCCGGGAACCCCGACCGGCCCGGCCCGCAGGCCCCGCCGCCCAGGCCTCGCCGAACCCCGGTCTCGCACAGCCGCGGGCCGCGGGCAACAAAGGCGGCGGCGGCGGGCCCGGCGTGGAGCCGAGGGTCTGGGCGCGGGCCTGGGCCTCCCTCCCGCCGCCGCCCTCCCGGCCGCACGCGACCCCCGCCCCCCCGCTCCCGCGCCGCTCACCCCCGCGGCCGCCGGCTCCGCTTCCTCCCCCGCCGCGGCGCGACTGCCGCCCTCGGCCTTCCTCAAGCCGCTCCTCCTTCCTCCTCTTCCTCCTCCCCGAAGGGAGGGCGCGCGGCCGCGGCCCAGGCGGGAGCGGAGCCGCACAGGAGCCCGGGCCGCCCGCGCCCACGGCACAGCCCGGTAGGCGGGGCGTCGGGGTGAGGCGGGGCTCCGGAGGGCGGGGCCGTGGCCGCGGGTGCGAAAGGCCCCGCCCCTTTCCCCCGAGCTGGCACGGGGCAGTTCTGTCCTCGGAGGCTCTCGGAGGAGGCTGGACCCGAGCTCTGCTCTTCTCCGGACTCCAAAGCCGCCTTGAGCCGGGTCCAGGCTGAGCCACAAGTGGGAAAGCCTCCCGTTCCTACTCAGGCTTGGGCTTAAGGAAACTAGGCTTAGCCCTTCTTTCAAGTCATCTGCCCTTCTGTGGAGTCATTTTCAGGGGAATTCCTTCAGTTAATCTCTCTCTCTCTCTCTCTCTCTCTCTCTCTCTCTCTCTCTCTCTCTCTCTCTCTCTCTCTCTCTCTCTCTCTCTTTGTGTGTGTGTGTGTGTGTGTGTGTGTGTGTGTGTATTAGGCTTTGGCAACTTAACTCACTTTTTTTTTTTTACAAATTAACACAATATGCTTCTAATGTACAGCAGATCCAGAAGATTGTATTACTGTTTATAAGTAGCCAATGGGAGTTTATTTTTCCTCTAATGGTGAGCAATTGAAGACAATATTAATATCTCAATAAAGCGGGGGAATACATATTGTTAAAATATAACAGAATTCGTGTGATCCTTCAAAGTGTTTCTTAAGTGGTATGGGCATTTTTAAAAGAAAATAGACAAAGAAATAAGACTGGGGAATAGAAGACTTAGAAGAGCTTCAGGTGTAAGTAAACTTCAGGCCTGTTATGTTTTATTGAATATGTTAGTTGAAGAAAATAATAGTAAAGTTCAAATAATTGATATTAATTTCCAGAAATGTTCAGTAGAAGATGTTCATTTAAACACAAAATCTGGGTAAATACTAGAAAGTGTGTTAAATTGGTTTTAATAATGGGATGGTATAACAGTTGGCATATGTGTTATTTGCCAGACTGACCACTGGCACTCTCAGTATTACTTGAACAGATTAATGAACACTCACTACTGATGTACTGGCTGAAATATAACCCACTTCATATTCTCTTTTCTACCCTCCCTCCCTCTCGTCATCCCCAAGATAGCCTTCTTAGTCTTGAGCCACCAAACTCAGTCCAATTTAATTTGAAGTCCAATATCTGTTTTCAGTGAGTAACAGAATATAAACTGAAATCAAATTACCGAAGAGATTAATGATGATTAAGTAGAAGGAAGCTTTTTAGTCTCTTGCTCCCAGTAATGGTATTCCTCACCTGCTCTAAGGGCAGGATGCTGTGACTGAGCAGTAGAAACCATCGACCATCAGAAACAATGCACATAACCAAGACCCTGGACTGTGAATGTGGCAGACCTGGACCATGTTACAGTTTGAACCGTTCATAGAACTACATAAACATAGACTAGTCCCTAAGTTTTAACCAGTTTCTACCTCCAAAAAGCGGGAGTGATTGGCCTTGGCATTTGCCCAAAGAACTTGACGTCCTACTCCACAGAAACTTGCTCCGCCGTGTTCGTTGCTGCTCTATTCACAATAGCTAGGTGTGATGGTTGTTCTTGGTTGTCAACTTGACTACATCTGAAATTAATCAAAACCCCAAAATAGAGGGCACACAGGTGAGGAATTTCTACTTAATCTGAGGTGGAAATATCTACTTCTAATCTAGATCGTGGAGGTAGATACCTTTAGTCTGGGTCACACCTTCTGCAGGAAGCCTATAAAAGGACCTGAAAGAAGGAAGCCTTTGTTCTTTGCCTGTTTGCCCTCGCCTTCACTGGAATTAGAGCCTGCTTCTTTGTGATTCCAGGGTCTACTGAAGACAAGCTGAGGTATCCAGGCTCAGGGACTGAGAAAGTTCTAGAGTCTTGAACTCCCCGTTCATAGCCACCCATTGTTGGATTAGCTGGACCACAACCTGTAAATCATGCTAATAAATCATATATATATATATATATATATATATA